GATGCATCTGATTGTTAATGGCCCGCAGGTCATGGAGTAATCTCCACTTCCCAGATTTCTTCTTAATAACAAAAATTGGTGTATTCCATGGGGAGGTAGAAGGCTCTAGATGCCCCAGCCGTTCCTGTTCTTGCACTAATCTTGTGACAGCCTCTAATTTTTCAGAGGATAGAGGCCATTGAGAGACCCATAACGGCTCCTCTGTTTTCCATGGTATGGGTCGTGAAGCCTCAACGGCCCCTAAATAAAACCCAGTCCTTTTCTACCCCGATTTCCGTGTTGCGTAATGGGTTTTATTCTGCCTTGTTCTTGCCTACCCAAGCCTCTACCATTTGTATACCCCATCTTTGCCATAATGGCTGATGCCTGGGGGAGTATTCATTAGTTAGGGTCATGCCCATGGCTTGTAACACATCCCGTCCCCATAAATTTACAGGGAGTGGCAACACATAGGGGGTAAAACATCCCTGTTTGCCCTCAGCATTCCGCCAGGTTAAGGCTGAGGCACTGATGGCAGGAGAGGACTGGTATCCAAGACCTTGTAGAGAATGAGATGAAACAACAGTGGGCCAAGACTTCGGCCACCAATGGAGTGAAATAATGCTTTTGTCTGCTCCCGTATCCATTATCCCTTCAAATTCTTTTCCATTAATTAACAATTTTATTGTAGGTCTCTCATTTAGGGGTATAGCCAGATAGGCTGAATCACTTCCAGAAGATCCCATAGCCCTTTTTTGTAAAGTGTAGGTTTCTCCATCCCCGAGGGAGGGCAGCAACACCAGTTGTGCAATTCTATCTCCCTGCTTTATAGAAAATACACCCCGAGGGCTAGAACAGAGAACTTGAATCTCCTCTTTATGATACGGGTCAACAATTCCAGGATATATAATGAGTCCCTGTAAAGTTAAGGAGCCACGGCCCAGAATAAGCCCAATGGTGGCAGGGGGCAAAGGTCCAGGGGAATGGACTGGGACCGGTTGAACATTCATTTGGGGCATGAGTAAGAAGTCGGAGGCGGCACGCAAGTCCATTCCGGGGTTCCTCGGAAACCTCTACTTCCTCTTGATTGCTTTTCTGAAATTGGTTCCCATATTTCTGAGGGCCCTGGGACCATGGGCCCCGTGACCCGCTTTTTGATTGGGGTACCTTGGGTTCTTCAATAGGGGCAGAAGCCTCCCTTTACATCCCGGACTGACCTGCATTCGCTAGCCCTATGATAACCTTTACCACAACGATGGCAAAGCTTCGATTCTCTTGTTCTTTCAGGGGCTTGACAATCTTTCTTAAGGTGCCCCATTCTCCCACAATTAAAACAAGCTTTTCGACTAGATAAATCTCTATACCTGTGCGTTTGTAAAATGGCGGCAGCTAGTCCTGCATTGGTTAGGGGTCCCCCCAGCTCCCTGCACACTCTGAGCCAATCTTGTAAACCTTTGCTTTTGCGAGGGGCGATAGCCGCTCGACATTCCTGGGTTGCTTGTTCATAGACAAGTTGCTCAATCAGGGGCATAGCTTGTTCTGAATCACCAAAGATGCGACTGGCGGCCTCTGTCATTCTGGCCACAAAGTCTGAAAATGGCTCTTGGGGTCCTTGGACAATCTTTGTAAGGTGTCCACTGGACTCTCCCTTTTGTGAGGGCCTTCCATGCTTTAATAGCGGCGGCCGACACCTGACCATAGACACCCCAGATGTAGTTGGTTTGATTAAGGGCATGTTGACCCTGACCTGTCAGCATTTCAAATGTCCACTGCCTCTGATTCTCATCTTCAGCCGTGGCATTAACTCTAGCTTGTGCCTGGGCTGCATCATACCAGAGAGCCTTCCATTCCATGTATTGTCCCATGTTGGGAAGCACTGCTTTCACTGTCGTCTGCCAGTCAGTGGGAGTCATGGCAAAATTAGCAAGCCTTTCCACCTGTAATGTGGTAAAGTTAGCATTGACCCCATAATTACGAACGGATTCGGCCAATTCTTTGATTTGATTGTAATCTACAGGGGTATGTACTCTTCCGCCTTCCGCATTCTCGAATACTGGAAAAGCTACTTGTATTTTTCTCCGTTCCTCTAAAGGTAAAAAGGAGTCAGTACCAGTATTCAGCCGAAGCTCATACTGCGGAGGCGCTGAGGGGCGTGAGCCCGCCGGATTTATAGGCGGTGGCCTCACATTCATTTTTGTTTTCAGTGGCCGGTGTCTATCAGGGTGATATCTTTCTTCCTCATACCGTGCCACCTCCTCCTCTAGACCACCTTCTTCGCTAGAATACAGAGTGTCAGAATCAGAATTATCTAGCTCCAAGGCTTCTAGCTCTACTGTAGGGTATAGACTAGATTCTGGCTTTTTCTTTTTCTTAGATTTGTTAGGGGTGAATGATCACTCCCTTCTTTCTCTCCCCTTTCTTAACTTCTTGGGAGGGCCTTTTTTCTTAGACATGTCTTTCCTTTTGCGAGCTCCCATTCTCTCACTCCGTTCAGTTTCTGACATGCTATCCTGAACTTCCTCTAAGGTTCCCTGACTTTCTATTATAGCAGGGTGACAGGCCTCATCCTCCAAGCAGTTTTTAACTAGCTTCCAAATGGCTTTGGTACCTAAGTGGAGATCTCCTTCTGCATGCTTCCTGTCTAGTTCTTTACCTAGCTTGTTCCATGAGGCCACAGTGAGGGACCCGGAACAAGCATACCATGGTGCCACTCTATCTACCTCCTTCACAAAATTTTGAAGTGTTCGTGGTGCAATTTTAAGATCTCTTTGTTTTAGCACAGTCTGTAGGGCAGTAACCACTGACTGTGACAACCCCATCGCGCTAGCGGCTTATCTAAAAACGGCGCTCAACTCCGTTACCAGACTGACAGCACCAGACTGACAGCACCAGACTGACAGCACCAGACTGACAGCACCGTTCTGTCAGCACCAGCCACGATGAAGGAGAAGGACAAACAGGACTAGCACCAAAGCCTCCACTGACCCGTCCCACGGTGATGACAAACTAAGGCCAAAGTCGAGAAAGGGGGTGTTCAGGATAAAGCATACCTCTCTGAACTTACGTCCCTGCAGTTCTGAATCCGCCCCGTCTTCCGAGGGGTCTCCCGCGGCGCCGGCGATGTTGAAGAGTTCCCGGGTTTCGGCACCAGATGTCCCGCGCTACCGTCTCGCCAGCAAGAACGACGCAGAACACTCGGATCCTTCTGCAGTAAAGCTTTAATGCATCTTGAGAGATAGATGATCAGCTTCTTAGAGGGAGACCCCAAGCTAAGAAACCCAGCCCCTTATATAAGCCTAGGAGCTCCGAGTGAGACGTGTAGAGCCGGGATTGGTGGTTTGCACATCACCCCAGATGACGGGTGAGGCACAGCTTAAACGGTAACTCCAACTGACAGCAGATGTCAGCGCCATCTTCTAACGGTTAACTCCAACTGACAGCAGATGTCAGCGCCATCTTCTAACGGCAATAGCGATAGTGAGGGCGGCTCCTCACACCTACCTGTGCCTCCCTGTGGTGGGATTTCAGGCGTGAGTCTTATTTTCAGAATTCAAGTTCCTGAAATGTGTCTCCCCAAGTGACAATTGCAGTAATTAGTTTTGGCTTGTCATGTTTGTATTGGCCATGAGACACTGGCTTCTGAGTTTAGCTGTTATCTTTTGGTGTAAAATGTAGCCCAGGAATATGGTAGCCAAGTCAAGGTTAATCGGCCCATCTTTTATTTAAAGGATTCATACTAACTGTGGGGATCAGATACTGGGGCACAGAGACCTTCTAGTTCTTGTATTGGGTGGCAGCAAGTGTGTGGGGAATCAGTGCAGAATAGTTCAAGTGTATCTCACAGCTGGAGTTGTATGGAAGACAGACTGATTCAGCAGTAGTGACTGGTGCATTTTTTCAGGGCCATTTACATGTATACAGAAGTTGGGAGAGGGTTGGATTTTAGAAGTGTGCAGGGAAAGATTGTAGAATTGAGAAAGGCAGAGGAGTCAAAGACATTGGATTCTGGGATACCAAGTGAACAAAAGAACAGGTAGAACTTCTAGGCCTGTAATGAGGGGAATAATGGGTTAGAGTCCTAAATGTGGAGGAAATGTCCAGATACTCAGTGTGACCCAAAAACTACCCACAGCCACAGGTTCCTGGTCAGGAGTCATGGGAAAGTCACCAGTCATCAGCACAGTGACAGGAAATGTTTATAAGAAATCTGGCACTGAATTTCTGCTGTGTATGTGTTACCATTATGAATAAATTTCACATTATATGAACTTGATTATTCTTCCCATTTTATTGACAATCATTGCAAAAATATTCTTATGGAACCATCTAGTAGAATACATGAATTTATACCTTGATATTTGCAAACAGTTCTCTTTGCTACCATAGAAAGTACAAACCTCTTTAAGGATACAGTCATACATGTTCACTTCTATGTTAAATCACTTCCCTATTCAAACAGTGGCACATAAAAGTAGGAACTTGGCATTCCTAACCAGGAAATGTAATCAAATCCAAAATTACCATTTTTTGGCTTCCATGGACATAGTTGTAACCACTGACATTTAAAATGGAAATTTTTACCTAGCATTAATTTTTCTTCTGAGAAATATGCACTCTTAAGTAAATATAACATTCTGAAGAGTGTTTTGACAGCTTTGTGGCAAACAACTTTAATCTCACCACTGGTTAGGCAAAGACAGCTAGCTCTCAGTGAGATACAGGCTATGTATTCACCATGCTTAGTTCTACAACTACCTGGGCCTCATCATGAGAACATTTCTCTGAAAACAAAAAAGAAATTTGTATTTTTGTGCTGAGTCCTTAATGTCGCACTCCTGAGCCTGGAAAAGCACAGTATGCTGTTTCATGATTCTAGGTTACAGTATTTTCCCAGTTAGAAAATGAGTTATAAACCGTGTGGTGTGAACAAGTGTCTGTAATCCAATTTAAGTATACACCCTGATATCTGATTCCAGGTTTATTAACACGAATTAGAATTCTGGAGAAAAGGAGGCCCGATTATGTGCCCGCCAATGACCGACAAAATGGATATGTCTTTGGATAACATCATTAAGCTTAATCAGAGCCAGCGAGGCTCTCATGGTGGAGGCCGGTGTTGCAGCAACGCCGGCTCCCAGAGCGACCACCGATGGTCCATGCAGGCCTCCATGCAGGGTAATAGAGGTATTGGGCCTCTGAGGAACTGGACCTGTGTCTCTGGCAGCACTACAGGCAGCAACAGGAACAGGCTGACTCCCTACAACAGGAATAAACAACTTCCTGACAAGTGGCAGGAGGACCTCTTCCACAGAGGCTTCTGGGATGAAGCCAGCATGGAGATGAGTGGAAAGCTGTTGGTGTCAAAACTTGACTGCAAGGTGTCAGATGTGGATATTCAGGAACTCTTCGCAGAGTTTGGAACACTGAAAAAATCTGCTGTGCACTACGATCGCTCTGTACGATGTTTAGGGAAAGCAGATGTGCATTTTGAACAGAAGGCAGATGCCCTGAGGGCTATGAAACAGTACAATGGTGTCCCTTTAGATGGGCAGCCTATGAACATTCAGCTCGTCTCATCACGTATTGACACGCCACGAAGACCTGCACAGAAAATGAACAGAGGTGGCATGACAAGAAACCGTGGCTCTTTGAGTTTTGGTGGTGGCGGCACCCAGAGAGGGACCCGTGGAGGGAGCCGTGAAAGAGATAGAGGTACCAGCAGGAATTCAAAGCAGCAGCTTTCTGTTGAGCAATGGATGCAGAGCCTGGGCTTGCCTAGTACCAAGGTACTATAGTGAAATGAAGTATATACTATCAATTCCTATGGCTAAATGATGCAAAGATGGGTACATAGCCCATTTTTTATTAAGTTGTATGCCATCTGGGTTCCCCTACATATGAACTCTCCAGAGGATGGAGGATCCCGGATCTCATTTATCCCATTAATTTGACTGCACAATTGATGAATATAAACTTTGTCAGGAGTAACACAATTACACATGATTGTTGATGAAGATTGTAAATTCCTACCTGGATTAAGTTATTTAAAGAGATAAGAGTACTGAGAGAATCTGATACTTTCCCTGATGTTTTATACACTGTGCTGGCTGTAGTTACTGACTGTGAAGTGACAGACCCAGATAAAATTGCTCTTGTAGCAGAAACATAAATTACTACAGTCACCCCAGCAGTGATGCCTAAGTCTCTCTTTTGCCACATGAGGAACACTTACCTATCTGTGTAGACATACACTGGCATATGGTGGATTTCAGTAAAATGAACTCCCAAGGCCTACACTTCATCTCTCTAACAACTTTGTAAGTGCTCATGTCCTGTTCAAAAACTGAAAAGGGGATTTAGCCACTCATCATGGTCCATACCAGTGTCCAGTTGTTTAAATGTGTTCGTTTTCCCCAAAGGGAAAACTGGAAATCGAATTTGTGTTTCAAAGTGTGTCTAGTTTTTTTGGCTCCATGAGGAACACTAGATCTGTTGAGAAACTGGAAATCTCGAACCAACTGTTTCCTTTCTTTCTTTCTCAGCCTGTAGAATGGATGACAACAAGGCTCAGGAACACTGGATCAGGGGATCTCAGTTAAACTGGCTTAAGAATGTTCCCACAGTCTCAGATCCATGTTTTCTCTGATCCATGCATCACACCAAATGTTCTGCCAGAAACGGAGCTTATTTTCCTGTAGGAAAACACAAAATTCATGTGACACCAAATTAGGGCAGAATCTGGTCTTTTCCACTGGGTAGTGCATGGATGTTTCCATTTGACCTGAGCAAAAGTCCCTCGAGTTCCATCATGCCAGAATCTGTCTGTAGCAGATTGCTCACTGGCATCCATATTTTAAAAAATTGAAATGAGGAGTGCTTGATTTAATGAATCACTTCGGGACTCAGGACGTTACTCCTGACTTGTCCTATCTTTTGACACATGAATGGTAGCTTTACCCATTTGTACAGTGGCCATCAATAAACATGAATACCTCTCAACTGCCATGTGCACATATTTTAATTTGTCAAATTGTGCAATATAAATAACAACCATTTGCCATAAATAGCGAGGAAATAGGCCTCAAGGGTTTTTTTAATGGTCGTAGATAATATTGTGGGTATAACTCAATGTTTGAAAATTTTAATGAACAGTCTCTTTAGATTAATCAAATCGCCCGCCCAGGCATCTGTCATTTCAATGGTGAAAGTTATGAGAATGCAGAGCTCTCTCTACCTAAAATAAGTGACCATTGAATATTTACCAAAAAATTCTGAAAATCATTCAAAGATGGGAATCTATACAATGTCCCAAATAACTTTTGAAAATTAGTTGCAGTTTGTAAGAATTTGTTTTTCTTATCCAATCTATAAATCTCTTTCAGGTGGATAAAGCCTCATTTGTATCTTATCTGACATTTACAAATTTGTATCTACAATGATTTCTTTGTAGAAGTAACAGGGCAACAGTTTCCCTGAGGTTTCTTCTCAAAACCTTTTTTTTGCTCTAGAATTCCTTTTCCAACCATAAAAACTTAGGAGAATTCTTATAGACTTTCCTTGGCTGATCTGTATAGAATCATCCATAAAGACTTATTTGGCTTTTAGGCTATGTTGTAGTCTTCTGTTACTTTTCATTGACTGCCTCTAAGGACTTAAATCAACCTTTCATGATAACAAATCAACAGGCTGGATGATCTTTATGGCTATATCAAAAGCAACTTAGGTAGCTTCTTAACTATCCAAAGCTATTAAAATATACTTTATTAATATCCAATGCAATTCAACTGGTTCAAAATCAGGCTTTTACCATCACTTTTCACACACACTGGTGTGGCCACATGATACATACTAAACATACATATATCTTTTAGTCATCCTTTTTCTCCAAGAAGTCATTTGTTTTTGAAATGAAACTTCCTTAATTGAAATTTCTAGTGACAGTACAGCTCTAGCCCATCTTGGAATTAAAACAAAAAGGTTGAAAAAGACCCTCATGGTTTTCCCCATCTTTCCATTCTGTTTTAACTAGGCAATTTGAGAGGAGTTGAAAGTGGTAAAATTAACATCCGATCCTTTTACAAAGAAATGAACCAATCTTTGGGATTCCTACTGGAGTGGGCATTCTTGGTTTAGCAGCATCCATAACCAACAGAGTTTTAATTACCTCTCGCAAATCCTGTAACAGGTACCACTTTCTTTATTTTTTTCTTTATAACAAAAACAGTTACATTCAAAGTGGAGGTGGAAGCTTCAATATGTCCCGGCTACAATTGTTCTTGAACCAGCTGATGAGCAGCATCCAATTTTATTTTACATAGGGGGATTTTCTACCCACATGGGTAACTCTGACTTCCATGTGTTTGGATTAGGTCATATCCCCAGCTAAAAATGACAAAGTCCTGTCCAATTTTCTGACATGTGGGTAACAGAATTTCTTGAGTGGAAATAAATTTTGGAGTGGTAAAATATTCTTTGTGCTCCTCATCATCTCTGCTTTTGAGATGTTCTGAGCTATACTCAGGAGCTATAGTCATATCCACTCCCTATAATGTAGCATGGCACAATGGTAGATTAGCACTAGTAGTTCAGTTTAAAGTTAAACATGGGCAGTAATTTCCTAACTGTTCTTACTAGGATTTTTAAATATTTTTTCAAGATCAGAATTTTGTTTCTTCATCTTAGTACTTTCAATAATCTCCAATGTGGAAAGGCAGCATTAGGAAAGCATTCTGGTCTTTCATTCTGAATTGCCTTTTGGAGGTCATATTTAACTTTTTCCCAATCATGAATATTAAGCCTTTTGGAGTGTAGAAACCATGGACTTGTTTTCCCAAAGGTAAAACAGAATCTTATCTGTCTTTCTGCATAATGCTGGTACCTTGTCTATTTAACAATTCTAATAACTGTTCTATCAATACAGCTATAGAAGCTGAAGTACTCATTGTTCTTTTTTATTATTTTAAATTTAAATAGCTTGTTTACATGTCAATCCCGGTTCCCTCTCCATCCCCTCCTAAGTCACAATCCCACCACACCCCACCTCCCACCCTATCCCCACTTCCTTCCACATAGGGGATATCTAGAGTCTGGCATTTCACTCAAGGCAGGTTCCAGGCACTCCCCTAAGAGTCCAGGCTGAGAGAGCATCCCTCTGTGTTATGGACACAGGAAGTCTGTTTGTGTTCCAGGGATAAACACTGAGCCACTGCCCAAGGCCTATAGGTTGCCCAAGCCTCCTCACTGACTCGCACACTCACATTCAGGGGGTCACATTGTGATGTCACTGACAACATAGGGCACACAGACAATGTTCACTGTACTTAAAGTTATCCACTCTTATTGAAGTACAGTGATGACCATCCTAGAGCTATCACACTCTTCTAGTCTCTATTTACATTTGGCCTGATTTTGATGCTGGTCCTCCATCAATCAACACTTTGCTGTACGATTTAAAACCAACAGCACCGAGGAGAACAGCTTTACCTTTCCATTTCCTGTATTCTGGGAGTGACAAATTACTAGCCTGGAAGTCTTCACTTCCAGAAGACCTATCAGGCAGTGCATTCCAATTTCTTCCCAGAAGCCACAATTCCTGTGCTCCATTACTCAAATTCCAAGCTAAACAAAACCATCTCTAGATAGCACCCCATCTTCAGGCGAGGACTTGCTGTACTTCCTTTTGGACATTTTCTAACCCTAACCAAAAATTGCAATAAACAATTGAAAAAAATGTAAGCACAGTCAGAGAGAATTCTGGAATGAGAAAATCTGAGTAAATGATCATGTATGCATAACCTACAAAATTCAAGATATAGAAGAGAGAATATCAGGCACTATAGATTCACTACTAGAAATAGATTCACCCTCAAAGGAAAATCTTGAGTCCTAAAAATCCCAAACACAAAATATCCATGAAATATTGGCCACCGTGAAATGGCTAAACCTAAGAACAATAGGTATAGAAGAATGTGAAGACCCCACCTAAGATTTGCAGAAAATAAATTCAAAAATCTTAGCAGAAAACTTTCCAGAAGTAAAGAAAGACATGTCAATGAATGTACAAGAACACTACAGAACACGAAAGTCGGCCACAAAATGTCTCCATGCCAAATAGCATTCAAAACACCAAACATAAGGAATAAAGTAATATTAAGAGCAGCAAAGGAAAAAAACCAAGTAACATATAAGCCTTAACCTATCAAAATTACAACTGATTCTCCAAAAATCAGTAAAATCCAGAAGGTCCTGGATAGATATTCTCTGAAAAGTATGAGAACATAGATGGCTGCCCAGACTACTATACCCAGCAAAATTTTCAGTCATTATAGATGGAGAAAAAAAGGTATTTCACAACAAAATCAGATATAAGCAGTGCATATCCACTAGTGCTTTCCTACAAACAGTACTGAAAGGAAAACTCCAACCTAAGGAAGTTAACTATACTCACAAAAACACAGGAAATAAATAATAACACTTTACCAAAAGCCAAAAGTTAAAGCTAGTCTCAAAACACCAAATAATCTAATTAAAAATTGGGATGCAGAACTGAATAAATAATTCTCAATAGAGGAGTCTAAAATGACTGAAATACATTTAAGAAACTGCTCCACATCCTTAGCCATCATGGAAACACAAATAAAAACATCTCTGAGAAACCAATTTGCTCATGTCAGAATGACAAAATCCAAGACACCATGAGAATTTATACTGAAGTGGATGTGGAGAAAGTGGAACACTCCTACACTGCTGTTTGGAATGCCAATATTCACAGCCACTTTAGATATCAGTATGGAGA